ACATTACACACAGTTTGAATAAAATGGGGTAGTCTACAGATGCTGCAGGAAAGTCAATATTCTTGTGTAGAACAAAAGATTTCAAAACATTTTCATATGGGGACCAATGAACTCTTATTTTATCTTTTAAATATTTATTTTTATTTATGTGCATGCCTCTGTATATACATCATTGCCCTGAATACCATGATCTAAAAAATCCCACATACTATCAATACATCTAATGTATAATCATCATAGTGGCACCATTAATAGGTGCATGGGCCAATTGTATTTTCTTGTGTTAAAGTTTCTTTCCATCATCTAATTTTATTTCTGACTAGGCATTGAATAATTTTAGCTTCTGATTATTCTTGAACCTCAATAACATAAAATTGATTGGAAATTCTTCCTGTAAAAGTTATCTTAAAGGTGCTATTAGCACTTAATTTTACTCTTGAGTTAAACATTCAAGCTATATCTACAAAGAGTCCTTACCTTGTGATAAAATGGAGACCAATTTGAGCTGTCTTTAAAACACATGTGAGACCAAGTGAACGAGTAGCAGAAAACTGTTTAGGACAAACTTGAGAATTACCTAGTTTGCTGGTGTCTGACTTTTCTTCTGTCCTATTTGCATCTGACAAACTTCAGCTTTACTTTTTGTTTGTGCTGATTCTCATGAATAACAGGGATAGTTACATTAATCCCTGACACTGCAAATAAACAAAAGGGCAAGGAGAAAGCAAGGCCTCAGAAGAGCTGGGCTTGAAATTAAGTGACCTGTGACCAGTATCATTGTGAAGTTACTGAGTACCTACCACACACCAGGCAACATAGTAAGAACTTTGTTCCCTTTGACCACCACACTCATAACCTAAGAGGGGATCCCTAGTTAATAGATAAAGGTGAAACACAGAAATGTTAAGTGCCTTAAGTCACATAGCTAATAAATGACTAAACTGGGATCAGACACAGTCCAAGTCCACAGCCCATTTTTAAAAGCTGTGAGCTCCAAGGCTTTGAAGGAGCAAGGTGTGTGCTGTTCAGACAGAGCACGCAGGGCAGCTTTGAGCACTGCTGGGACCTGGTTGCCCAGCAGTAAGATGGCAGATAGGAGAGAATAGCCAAAGTCAAACTAAGTACAACTCTGGCTGACATACATGCTCCAGGTATGGAACTTCCAAACAAGAAGAGCATTTTCCCTTTACTGTCTCTCTAGCAGTGTCACCTTTGAGATGATGCTGGGAGGGTGGTAGTTTCTGGTTTTGGTGTTTTATTCCCCCCCAAGGACTTGAGGACTTTTTATCCTTTCAAAGATGTAGCATTCACTTTTTGTCTCCAAAGGCTGGTATTCTACTGCTGACCAGATAAAACTCTTTCTTTGATAAAGTATCAATCAGCAAACCGAAGACATTTGTTCTATTTGCCAATTTTTGGTTATCAGGCTTTATGGATATGTATATGAGACATACAAAGAAGTATTTAATCACAAAGCATTCCTTTAATAACTAATACATCTACACATATAAACTTATTTACAACCTCAGATAAAGGCATCATACCTCTCTTTGGGTTTTTTTTGTTTGTTTTGTTTTGTTTTGTTTTGTTTTGTTTTTACGAGACAGGGTTTCTCTGTGTTGTTTTGGAGGCTGTCGGTCCAGCCCGGCCACGAACTCAGAGATCCACCTGCCTCTGCCTCCCGAGTGCTGGGATTAAAGGCGTGCGCCACCACCACCTGGCTCTCTTTGGTTTTTTTAAGACAGGGTTTGTACACAGAGGCCCACGAGGACCCTGAATGAAAAAAATAAATAGAAAGGAAAGGAACATGATTGCTCCTAGGTACAATAGAGGAGAGAGTTTATCACAGATAAAAGGGTGAACTTAGCTAGAGGCAGGGACATCCGGGAGAGTTCAGAATGCACGTGACTCCGAACCATGTGAGAAGGGGGTTGGAGAAGGGAGAGTGGACACAGAGGAACCAGGTAGAGCAGCCAGGAGGCCCAAAGGAAGTAGACAAAAAGGACCAGATAGCCAAAATGGCTGGGTTATATAGGGAAGGGCAGCCTAACCCTGGGTTGGAGAAGTTTAGAGTACGGGGTAGGGTATGACAGCCAGGAGGACCCTGTAACAGGTAGAGACTGAGGGTTGCTGGGAGAACTTACTGGCCAGCATTCATTTTGATATGTTAAATAGATACCTAAACCATTTGTTCCAGGTTTGAAATCTTACAGGCCTCAAACTCATGGTTCTCTACCTCAGACAAAATGCTAGGATTACAGGCTTGGATCTTTTTTTTTTTTTTTTCTTGAGACAGAGTCTTACTTTTTATCCCTGGCTGTCCTGTAACTCATTATATAGAACAGGCCGACCTCAGACTCAGAGATCTGCTTGCCCCTGCTTCCCAGGTGCTGAGATTAAAGGCCTATGCCTCCATGCCGGGCTCACGACATTTTTTAACAGATTTCCTTTTCAAATTCAAATCAATAACTCTAAATATTAAAATAGAGACTGTGACCAGCCTGGTCTACCGAGTGAGTTCCAGGACAGGCTCCAAAGCAATACAGAGAAACCCTGTCTCGAAAAAAACAAAAAAAGAAAATACCCATGTTTGCTTTAATAATGGCAGTATAGCACAAAGAATAGCTGTCATCAAGGATACCTTTGTGTCTTCCCACTCTTTGTTCTAAAAATGTTGGTTGGTTCCAGGCAGACACCAAAGCTGTGTAGTCTCATAAGTGTAAAATGATGTTTGAGCACATTCCTAGTTTTTTTTTTCCCCCTTTTGAGATAGGGTTTCTTTGTATAGTTCTGTAGACCAGGCTGGCCTGGAACTCACAGAGATCCACCTGCCTCTGCCTCCTGAGGCTGGGATTAATGGCGTGAGCCACCATTGCCTGGCTTCTAATCATTATTAACTGAGGTCATGCTGAAATGGTTACTGAAGGTCATGTACAGGAAATCATTACTGGAAAAGAAAACAGTTAATAACTAAAAATTATCAAACTACAAAGCACATCTCAAAAAAAGTTTATTGTGTTTGATACAAATTATTAACAGTAGTAAAGCATTTCATCTATTCCCAAGTGTGGATCTAAATTATACAGTCTAGAAACAGTTGTCACAAAATTACAGAATATAATGAAAGTATTAAGATACAAATAGAAAGTAATAGGTGGTTTAAAAAAAAAGTAGAATGTACTTCAATAAACCATTGAGGCAAGCAAAACTACTACGAATGACTCCCTGTGAAGCCAAACTGAAAGGGATTTCAAAGCATAAGAAAAGGATGACCTAACGGAAACTCTGCACTTCTCTCCAGTGCTGCAGGTAGAACCCAGGGTGTCTCCCAGTGCATGTCAGGCAACTACTCTTCCAGTGCGTTCCATCACCACACCTTATTTTTTAAAAGTTAAGGCCTAGTTTAATCTGAAAACAAAAAATCAGAAAATGAGTACAAAAGAAACTCTTGAATCCTGAGACCATAAATTGAACTAAGTAGTGTGTTGTCACATGAATGGATGTCTAAAGATGCAAGCCAGGGGCCCAAGAGAGAATAACCAAGCAACTTAGAATGCTAAAAACATGCTGAAGAAGCTTGGAAGCCAGGCTTATTCTATCATATCCATCATCAAAAATACATCTGAATAGACAGATTCAGACCAAAGACTAGCAAAAATCACAAATAATTAGTTATAAATTCAAAAGTAGTTATGCCCAGAGTTTTCACCCAATCACCACTTATTTTCATATCACTTTAAATAGACTATATATCTCTATTCTGAAACTGGCACTATGTAAATTAAACACAAGAAGAATTCCAAACTTAACCAAATATATCACCACATAGTAGCTGGGTCAGGTATCATATGCCTATAATCTTAGCATTCAGGAGGCAAATACAAGTGAATCAGAAGTTCTAGGCAAGCCAGGGTCACATGAGACCCTATAAAAATTGGAACTAAAGAAATAGCTCTGAACTAAAATTATCTGTGATGGAAATTAATTATGCCTTTCTCAGATTTAAAGTTGCAAAAAAAAATCTATGCTGTTTATGAAACATGTAACAAAAGAGGGGGGAGTCACCTGATATGTATATACAAGAATGGTCCAATTTCAGTTTCTAACACTGTTTTTTAAGATTATAATTAGTTCTTCCAAAATCTAAATTTTAAAAGAACATTTAATATTTCCAAGACATCTTTTCATCTATCATGTGTCTTCCTAAAATTGAGGATATCATTTTTTCCTTAGGTTTTTAACTTTCTGAAAAATGCCAAAAAGATCATTATCATTTAATTGAAATTTAAAACAATAAAAATTCCATTATTCCTCTTATTTAAGTACTTCCTCCCCCAATGAAAATAAAGAACAGAGTTTAAAGCAGTTTGGTAACAACAGGACCTTGGATGTTCTTCATGGCTTAATTGATTGATAACCATTTCTAAAATGACATTTCAGCTTCTTTGGAAGATCAGGAAATAATTATATAGATTTATTGTCATACTTGGCTGTACTGCTCTTTGTCCTCCAGTTGGTAGCTGAGACGAAGGGATGTGTTGTGGGAGACATAATTATTGGACTCCTTCCTGATAGCTACTGTAAAGGCTAAGAACTCTAAAATATGCCTATCTCTCAAAAGTGATTGCTTTTAAATGCTGTAAGGAAAGAAGACGAAAAAAGTTCTTTTCCTTCCTAAAAGTTAAAAACCGCTTTCCCAGTTGGTAATAATCACACAGAGCATTAAGACATTTTTAACGGGATGAGGTAGTATGTCCCTAACTGTAGGGCAGAGATCCGCCTTAGGATCCAGCCAAGAGCAAGAGACCAGGCAGGTGCAGTGGTGGTGCTCATTTTCAATCCCAGCACTCAGGAGGCAGAGGTAGTGAGAGTTCCAGGCCAGCCATAGCTACGTAATTAGACCTTGTCTCAAAAAATAAATAAATAAAAATAAAAGAGCAAGCCAGGTGTTGGTGGCACACGCCTTTAATCCCAGCACTCGGGAGGCAGAGGCAGGCAGATCTCTGTGAATTCCAGGACAGCCTGGTCTCCAGAGCAACTTCCAGGACAACCTCCAAAACAATACAGAGAAACCCTGTCTTAAGAAACCAAAAAATAAAAATAAAAAAGCAGCCATCATTTTTAATGTCTAGAAGAATAAATGCATAGTGTGTGAGGGAATCCAGTCATACCACTGAACCTCTCCAATGTTCAAGCCAGAAATAAGTTGATTCATTCCAAGTCATTCATTAGCAGTGGAATACAATCTACAGAATGAGTTCCTCTTATAACTACACTAGTTTCTATTTTCCCTGGGCAGTCTTGGTTTATTACCTATCCCACAATTCCTTCTTAGTCTCAAAGTGCCCAAGTTTAGAAAATAGCTACTTGTTCTAGCTGGACAAAACATTAGTCTGAATAAACATTTTTTTTTGGCCAGGAAGAGCTTTAGGCATAAAGAACTTTAAGCTTTGAGATAAAATGTTAGAAAACTGGAATAAAAGAGGTGCTTCAGCACTCGAAATACCTGCCTCCTGTGGTTGTCAATAGTGCCATCAGAGCCACAGCGGAAAACCAGGTCATGGTGAGAAAGTCTTTGTGGAGGCAGCGGAAGTAGAGTCATCTGAGGAGGGAAGGGGTCACTGCTCTGGCAGTGTTGTAGGTTGCTCTACAAACACTGTAATCCTCCTAGTTAGCAGTTTGATTGTTTTGCTACAAGAGCTAAACACCCTGAAGTAGGCTTGAGTATTTCTGTTTAGGAAATGCACATCCATGCCAGCAGGTCTTGATTGTAGCAGGTGCTGGCTTAAGTGATCAATAAGAGAGTCAAGTTCATAGAAAAGAGCTTCTCTCTGAAGCCTAAGATAGGGTAAAGCTCATGATTTCTCAGAAAATCTAAAATGAAAGTAAACAAAGCACCATCTCTATCCACAAAAATCTAGCCATCAACGGTCTTGATCTCTTCTTGGTCTCTGCCATCTAACACGCCTGCCAACTGAGAGGATAGTCTTGAGAATATCTTCCCACATTCAGAGTGACCAGGTCCTGACTACACATTCTTCCTAGCTTCTCATTAGAGGCTACAAACCATTAACATAGACTTATAGAAACCCTCTAATTCAACCTACTACCATGAATGTTTTATATGATTAAGAAATAGGGAAGTAGAAAACTAGACCTAAATACCAAGACAAACAGTGTATCCATAGCTATGTTTGTAAGTGCTAGTTGCTTGGGAACTGAACTTTCAGTGTATAAAATGGAAACAATAAGTGAAACAGAATGTCAATATAGCTCTCATGTCAAATAGATCCCTTTACTGTAATCCACTAAAACAAGGAAGAAAAAAATGGTTCAGGGGTAGAGTACTTGCCTAACATATGTGAGGCAGAGTTCTATCTCTAGCACTGAAGAGATCATTCTCCATGAAATCCTAACATAAATCTGTGTTTCAAACAGAAAACTACTCTCTCCACAAACATTTGCCAAGCCCTCATGGCTGAGGTAAGACTTATAGAAAATATGATTTTAGAACTCCTTAGAAATATAGCTAGATCATGAATTATGCTAAGAATAACCCTTACCTTACCTTCATCTGGACCATCTCATAGCTGGTAGCTGAGAAATACACTGTGCTTTTATTTTATATGCTTGGTGTTTTGCCTACATGTGTTTATGTGAGTATGTCAAATCCCCTGGAACTGGAGTTACAGGTAGGTGTGAGCAGCCATGTGGGTGTTGGGAACCTGAACCACCACTTCAGCCCCTTTTCACCAAGACATAGTCTGTGTGTAGCCTTGGCTATCCTCGAACTCACTCCGTAAACCAAGCTGGCCTCACAGAGATCCACCTTTCCCTGCCTCCCAAGTGCTGGAATTAAACGTATGTGCTACCACTGCCCACATTTTCTGTTACTGCTTTTTCTCATTCCTGATCACTTTAGTTCTTCTAAATCAAACCAAAGGGTGAAGACACTGCTCCCTAAAACCCAATTTCACTTAATGGGCTTTCTTTCAAGAGCCCATTTTTGCCGGGCGGTGGTGGCGCACACCTTTAATCCCAGCACTTGGGAGGCAGAGGCAGGCGGATCTCTGTGAGTTCGAGGCCGGGCTGGACCGATAGCCTCCAAAACAATAGAGAAACCCTGTCTCGTAAAACCAAAAAAAAAAAAAAAAGAGCCCATTTTCCCATAACAGAAGCAAGGTGACTAAAAGCAGCTTTAAGGTTTGTGCTCATTTGAATTCTAAGGTTCTTGAAAAAATATACTCTGTCCTGTGGCCATCTTTCTCTTATGAGCAGAGGACATTGAGTCTTCACCTGATGGCTTTATCTATGCATGCTAACAATTTGTCTCTTATGCTGTCAGATTCAAGATGAGTCCACACCAGTGAATTGGGTTGGCTGTACAATTGCTGTGAGCACAAACACAGCATTAGGTACCAGTTAAAAACCGGGTTTCCCAATTCCTGCCTTCAAGTATACACAGCTACCTTTAGTGAAAAGTTCACAAGAACAAGCTCACTGTAATGCCAATACTTGGGGGGCTTGAGGTAGGACTACCAGGTCAGGTTTGTCAAAAATAGGGGAGATTTGGTTTCCAAAATTACAACATTTATACTGTCATGAGAAACAGCCTCTAAACAAACTTGGGAATCCAATGTATTCAGACAGAAAAGTTACTTTGCTCCTTTCACGGTAAGCTTGATGATTCAGCACTACATTACCTGTGCCAATGAGGTACTGGCTCATGTGCTTCCTATGCCAGGGAAGCAATGTTAAATCGCCTGTGCTTACTTCTTGCTTGCTTACTTCTTGCCCAGGCTGGTCTCAAAGTCCCAGGATCAAGAAAGCCCTGAGTAAATAAGGTATACTCATATGCCATTATTACAGGACAAACTCAGTCAATACTAAGGGGCAAGTACTTTTTTTTAAAGATTTATTTATTTCACATTCAGTGTTCTGCCTACATACCCAAAGAGGGCACCAGATCTCATTACAGATGGTTGTGAGCCACCATGTGGTTGCTGGGAATTTAACTCAACCTCTCCAGCCCCAGCAAGTACTTACTTTAAAACTCCCTTTACAGCTGGGTGTCGGTGGTACACGCCTTTAATCCCAGCACTTGGGAGGTAGAGGCAGGTGGATCTCTGAGTTTGAGGCCAGCCTGGTCTACAGAGTGAATGCCAGGGCAGCCTCCAAAGCTACACAGAGAAATCCTGTCTCGAAAACCCCCCCCCCAAAAAAAACAAAACAAAACTCCCTTAACAAAGGAAGGAAAGGGTTGAAACTACTAAACACTTTTATCTTTATGCTGATATTTGGGGAACATATAAAAGACATTAAAGGCATACTTTTAAAAGAAACACACTGGATTGGAATCTTGACCAGATCTGAATCATTGCTGTGTTCTCTAACAATTCCATCAAGAAACAACTGTGTCGTTCAAAGATTTTATAGCAGTTTATATTTGCACACAAATTCTGCCACAGTGTTCAGTGCCACCAAACTAAAATTTTTGACTTTTTCACTAAAAATGAAAAACCCATCTGTGATCTGTTCCCAGAAAAAAACAGACTGTTCTACAAAATCAGCTGATTTAGGCAGGTAAGAACTGACACTTGAAAGATAGTCTTTCCAAGCTGCCAATTCATCAAATGGAGACCACTCCAGGAATATGGTAGGACCAAAGAATATGAGGAGACCCAGCAGAACTACCACCATGAAAAACTGGTAGGAGCGCCAGGGAATCTTGCTAATGAACATGCCTGTGTCTTGAGGCAAAGAAAGTTTATCCACATCGACTAGTTTAATTCCTTCCCACTGACTGGTATCAAAGTTCTTCATTAAAGGGCTTGTGGGCAAGTTAGAGGGTGGCAAAGGAGTTTCCTTGATTACTTTGATTTTCTCCCTGAACTCTTGCATCTGTTGCAAAAATATAATAGGTTCTGACACATCTTTAAAAGCCTCAGCAATGTTAAAGGCCATCCGCTGCTCCTGTAAAATAGTGTTGAGTTTGTTGATCTCTGGGTCATAGGCTTGCATAACTGCAAGCTTCATAGTCTCAAAGTCAGACAGGATTTCATTCTTCTTTTGATCTAATGTGTGTTGTAATTTCTCAAAAAACTCCTTTACTTTATCTGAATCTTTAGTGAGTAACTGTAGGGATTTCCTTTTGTTTGTTTCCAAAGTGTCCAAGTGGGAAAGAGCATCTCCCCGGCGCCAAGTCTCAAAACTCTGAAAGAGAGACTCAAAGGCATCCCTTTCCTGAGCATAGGCATCTTCAATAGAAGAGAAAACATGCTTATTGTGATCGCCACAAGTAGCACAGATCCCACAAATAAGCTGCATATCAGTTACACAGAAAATGTTGAGAGGCTGTCCCAAATGTCCTTTGCACACTGGCATTTTGGGAGAAACTTTGATTTTGTTATATTTCTCCACAATACCCTTTAGGGAGTAATTAACTTGTAGACTATTGACTCCAGTTGCTGAAGTTTCCTTACGGCAAGTAGGACATTTGAATGGAGAAGGTCTCCACAATGAATTCCGCACATTCCCCTCTAAGAGCCCTTCTAAACATTTTTTGCAGAAGTTGTGTGAGCAGGGCAAAACTCGGGGATCATCAAACAAACTGCAGCAAATTGGACATGTGAGGTCTTCCTCAAGCAGCTCCATCACATCCTGCACAGAAAAAGAAATGTTGAGATCTGGTGAGCCTCTGTAATAATCACAACACACCATCTTCCCCATAGAACCATCTCCTACTGACATAATCACAGCATACAGGGAAGAAAATTGGGGAAGGCATGCATACTAACACATATTTATCTCTGCAACAAGAACACACTCCTGTACACAAGGCCTTTGTGAGGGTTTCCCAACAACAGCCTTTGCTAAGACAGGGTTAGGACTGGGACAACTGCAAACTGAGCCAACAGGACCCAACATTGTTTTAAACAGAGCTGACTACTTGATGTCAGAAACAAAGAGTACCAGTGTCTGTAATAGAATGGGCTCTTTACTTTGGGCCCACAAGTATGAAATGGTATGCTACTTAAAGACAGAAAGAAGCACAACATAAATCCAAGCGTGAACTCTAGTCCAACTTTTACTGGAAATTGGCATATTACAATTACATAATTACAATTATTTAAGAGAATCCTAGTTTTAAAAAAACACAAAAGAACTGAAATTCAACCTTGCCTAGGGAATTAAATGAGGTAGATTTTTTGCTGTTTGGGGGGACTTTTTTTTAATTGGTGATTTTTAAACAACCAAATTCATCCTTTATACTGCCGCAGTAATTCTCTCTATGAGGGGCAGAAACTTAAAATGTCCCTCTTTCAGAGAATTAGTGAAGCCAAGAGCAACAGGAGGTATACTCTGCTGGAACTTTAACAGGAATCAAGCTGTAAGAAGCACCGAGCTGTGCCACTACTCAGTGTTCCTCAGGAGCACACAGGAGGGCAAGGGAAGGAGTGCTCTGAGCCAGGCTGACTAAACCACACACCCACAACCCCATCACTCAGAAAGACAAAGGCCTGTCTCGAAAAAAGACAGAGAAGGAAGGATATGAGTTCAAAGCAATGTAGCTATAAAGCAAGTTCCTCCCCATCTGAACTATGAGACCCTATTTCAAAAACAATAATAAAGTCCTGATGAAGCAAAGATTACTCATTTTGTCAAATCCTGCTTCTTGTATGCACGTCTTTTAAAAATGTGTGGCAAAATAAGAACTACATACAGAAGCACTCATGCATGCCAACAAAAGTTGTCTAAAGGGAGCAGCTCACGTGACTAAGCTACAGGAGAAGCCAGCTGTTTTTATTAGGAAAACACTGTAAGCTAGCACTATGCAGATTTAGGCAGCTGATAGACATCTTGAAAATGAGTAAAATGAGCTTGCTACTTACAGAATAGTACTTTCTGACAATGAAAACAGTTAAAATTTGTATTTTTTTTGCAAAATGTATCTACTCTTCCCATTAAAGATTCTGAAAAATGGTGAAGTTAATAAACGTGAAGGCTACTATAAAATGAAATATGTCAATATTTGGAGGTCTACAAAACAATGAACTAGTGCTTTTTCTTTTTTTTTTTTTTTTTGAGACAGGATTTCTCTGTGGCTTTGGCAGCTGTCCTGGAACTAGCTATTGTAGACCAGGCTGGCCTTGAACTCACAGAGATCTGCCTGTCTCTGCCTCCTGGGTGCTGGGATTAAAGGCATGTGCCACCAAGCCTGGCTGAACTAGTGCTTTTTCAGTCAATATTATAAATCATTCAGTAGAGAAGACTTTTAAAATATTAGAAAGAGCTGAAGTGTAGCTCACTGGTAGAACACTTGCCAAGACCCTGAGTTCAATTCCTAACACTACAGAAATAAAACATAAAAAAGTAACAAGCCAGGCAGATGGTGGTGCACGCCTTTAATCCTAGCACTTGGGAGGCAGAGGCAGGCAGATCTCTGTGAGTTCAAGGCCAGCCTGGTCTACACAGTAAGTTCCCAGACAGCTAGGGCTGTTACACAGAGAAACCCTGTCTCAAAAAACAAAAAATAATAATAAAAAAGTAACAGACAAGCAGGCTCATAATAAATGATCTCATATACTACAGCATGATAAAAAAAACTATTTGTTGAGGTTTGGCACAGTATTGAAGAGAAAGTTATCTCAAAAGTTACTAAAATACTACATCCTTTACCAACCACAAATCCGTATAATGCCAATTTTTTTGTATGTGTCAAAGTAATTAGAACAATTGTTTTCAATAATATAAGCATCCATGGCTAGGATATAGCTCAGGAGTTGGTAAAAAGTAACTTTACATACACAAGGGCCCCGAGACTCCGCCAAAGACAAAGCTATAGATACATAAAGAATGCCACTTTTATCACAAAGGGGGGTTGGGGGTATTTTTACTGAATTATTTGGTAACAATGATTTTACCAGTGTTATTTTAAATGAGTTAATGTGTTTTAAAGTCCTCAAGTCCTCAGTTTTCATTTCTAATATAGCAAGCAACTAGAATACATACAAACATATATACATACATACATATCTCAAAGCTCTTGGGATCCTCAGTCTTTGAGGGTGCTGATTGTTAATATAGAAAACACTTTCTCAATGTTCTTTTCTTCCTTTCCTCCCTCCTCTCTTCCTCTTTTTTTCCAGACAGGGTTTCTCTGGAACTCACTCTGTACACCAGGCTAGCCTTGAACTCAGAGATCTTCCTGCCTCTGCCTCCCAAGTGCCAGCTAATCCGTAGTTCTTATTCAAGTTTACTCAGGGATACAAATACTACCAAAATAATAAAGTAGGATTGTACTCTATGGCCATCAGATAATAATTTGGGGTTGGAGGTAGGGACATGCTGAGCAGAGTCTATCAGTCAGCCCACGTATGCCCAGCCTCAGTAATTCTGTGTGTATGTGTGCAGGTACACATGCAAGTGCCTGTCAGGGGCCAATGTTGTGAGATATTTGTACTGTGTGAAGATACATTGCTGTGATTGATTTAATAAAGATGTGAACAGCAATAGGCAGGAGGTATAGGCTGCACAGAAAAGAGTCAGAGATGAATCTAGGTACTCAAGAGATGCCTGGAGACACAGAAGAAGCAGGATATACATATAGTACTTGACAGAATGTAGATTAATAGAAATGGGTTATTTCAGTTATAAGAGCTACTTAAAAACAAGTCGAATGCTGGGTGGTGGTGGAGCATGCCTTTAATCCCAATCCCAGCACTCGGGAGGCAGAGGCAGGCGGATATCTGTGAGTTTGAAGCCAGGCTGGACCCACAGCCTCCAAAACAACACAGAGAAACCCTGTCTCGGAAAACAAGTCGAAACTAAGGCCAAGCTTTCATTTTTAATAAGTCTCCATGTCATTATTCAGGAGCTGACTAGTAGGACAGAGAAAGACTCGCTACAGGCCAAAGTCATCTCCAGGCATCTCTCTCAGTCCTCCCCCACCTTTACTTCTTGTAGAGGGTCTTACTGAAGCTGAAACTCACTGACTTGGCTGGGCTGACTGGCGCCTGGTCGATTTTTCTTTCCTTTTTTCTTTTTTAGTGTGTGTAGTCCTGGCTGTCCTGCAACTCGTCTGTAGACCAGGTGGACCCCAGACTGCCTCCTAAGTGATTAAAGGTGTTCATCATTGCCCAGCTTGACTTTTTGCATTTTTGAGGAAGGATCTTGCTATGTAGTGTGGTAGCCACAAAAATTCCCTTGCTTCAGGCTACTGAATGTTGGGATAGCAGGTACTGTATTAGCATGCCCCAAAGTAGATTCAATAGTTAGTATATATTAGGGCAATCTCATAGTAAATAGTAAGTATATAGTATGTGATTTGAAAATAAGATTAACTAGTGAATTGAGAAGTGACCTTTTTTTTTCTTTTTTCTTTTCTTTTTTTTCTTATGTTTCTATTTCTACTTTACATTTTATATTTTTATTTGATTGCCTTAAAACTTTTGGTCCCGTTACTACATTCTCCATATTCCCTAAGTTTCTTTGCCTATGGTACCCTCTCTTTTCATCCTGACCACCTTTGTTTCTTGTTATTTAATATTAAGCATGATGCAATTTTGTGACTGTTTTTACTTACAAATATACATTTTTCCTATCAGTAGCTGTTCTTCAAACATATGATAGCTCACTTTACAGATATGCTTTCTAATTGTCATTTTGTTTTTAGAATGGTTCTGTTCAACAGCTTTATAGCAAGTTTTAATTAAAACCTCTTAATTTCTGACCATTTCCTTAAATAGTTCCCATAGAGGCAATACTGGATCAAGGAATGAGCCTATTTTAATAAATGTGTGTGTGTGTGTGTGTGTGTTGCACATGTACTGAGATAAGAGGGCACTTTATGGGAGTTGGTTCTCCTCATCTACCATGTGAATCCTGTAGCTGGAACTCAGGTCCTGCCAACAGTGATAGCAAACCCTTTGCTGGCTGAGCCATTTTAAAACTGTAAAGATGACCAAGCCTCTTTCTAAAGAGGGTGTGTATTTCTGGGCATGATGATACATGTCTTTAATCCCAGCAATTAGAATACTCACCTGGATTTAAAATTTAAAACAATTTAAATAAGTTCCCATTAGTATACATCTAAGTATTCTATACATCTTGAGAACAAAAGGGTAGGAATGAACTGTAAGTTATAGACTCAAAACCAAAGTAGCTAGTCCCCTTAAGTTCATAAGTAAAAACATGGAGCCCAATTTACTTTGCCCTTCCGCCACCGAAGTATAGACCTTGAGTTTTCAAAGTTGTAGGATGCAGCACTATCCAGAAAGTCAGTCAAGAATTCAGTATCTAACCCAGGCATAGCGCTACACACCTTTAATCCAATCCCAGTACTCAGGATTACAGAGGCAGGCAGATCTGTTCAAAGTCAGCCTAGTCTATGCAGGGAGTTGTCACCAAAAGGAAAAAAAAAAGTCGGGCGTTGGTGGCACACGCCTTTAATCCCAGGACTGGTAAGGCAGAGGCAGGTGGATCTGTGAGTTCGAGACCAACCTGGTCTCCAGATCGAGTTCCAGGACAGCCTCCAAAGCCACAGAGAAACCCTGTCTTGAGACACCAAAAAAAAAAAAAAAAAGAAAAAAGAAAAAAGAAAAAAGAAAAAAGAAAGTAATTTCATATTCCAGCAGCTGAAAGTATGGCAAATGGCAGACCATATACTTAGCATGTTGATGGTACTGGCTTAGCTTCCTGGGAACAAAGCGATAATTGTATCTTTATTTATAAAACAATGTTTCATAAACTTCTAAAAATATCTTCTAAAACTCTATGGTTTTCATAAAATGAGGATCTTTTTATTGCTATCTTTATATTTCTGAAAAATAAATACAAATTTCATAACAAACTTTAAGTAGTATACAAATACTATGTAAATTATAAATACATATTTAAGGTGCTCTATTAGAGGGTGAGAATAGGACTCAAATGGGTTTAATTCTCCTGGCCAATGACTCCAAAGCAAAATCATTGGGCACCAGATACATGAAGCATGACCTCAGGAGGCCTGGTCCCCTGCCACACATGCACAGGGCAGGGCTGAGGGAACCACCTGCATAGTGTGAACAATTTCCAGCACCACCAAAACATAAGCACACAGATGAAAGTGTATTATAAAAAGATGTGTCCATAATTAAGTCAACTGGTACCAAAGTAGATAAAGAAATAGGTAAATTAAGTAAGTACTAGCCGGGCGTTGGTGGCGCAAGCCTTTAATCCCAGCACTCGGGAGGCAGAGGCAGGCGGATCACTGTGAGTTCGAGACCAGCCTGGTCTACCGAGCGAGTTCCAGGACAGCCTCCAAAGCCACAGGGAAACCCTGTCTCGAAAAAACCAAAAAAAAAAAAAAGTAAGTACTAGGGGAGGAAGGAGGCCTGAAGAAATGTATCTTCTGAGCCTTCTATCACTATGATAAAACACTGACCAAAAGCAACTAGCCATTTCCAGGTCACAGCCCATCACCGAGGTAAGTCAGGGCAGGAACTCAAGGCAAAACAGCTTTTTATTCTACACAACATTGCCTTCTACCTTGGAACCCACTCACATTCAGTAAAGTACAACAGACACCATCAAAAATCCACATGGACTGCTTGTTGGCTGTGCTCTGGTCCACAACAGGCTCGTTCTTAGCTGGCTTTCTTATGGTGCCCAAGTTAATCTGCCTAGGGGTAGGGCTGCCCACAATGTGCTGGGCCCTCCCCTTCTTTGTGAATTAAGACAGTCCCTCACAGACATAACCACAGACCAACCTGAAAAACAATTAGACTGGGGCTGTTTTTAGGTGACCCTAGGCTGTGTCAAACTGATACTCAGTATTAAGTAGGTCAGGGGTGTACTTCAATGGTAGGGTACTTGGCTGGTGTCCTGGGTTCTTTCCCCAGCACCAAATAAAACAAAAATATGAAAGAGGCATAATCTGCCAAAAGTGCATCGAATTCTAAGCAGCACGAATGCCTATATAATGGCACTCTTTTTACAGTACCCCACATGCAAAGGTCTAGAGAAGAGCAAGGAACTTGCCTTCTACAGCCCCACAACTGCAAAACTTAGACAAACCACAAAAGAAAATGCTGCCATATCCCTTTTTTTCCTTTACAGCATAAGTATATTATATTATGTATAGTAATTGCCAAAGAAAGCAACGGGCAGCATGGATTCTGTCTTGAGTTTTGAAATATGCAAAGAACAAAGGACCACCTATTACTGACGGAGGGTGGATGTGCGCATATTCTCTGTAGTCCGATCTGGAATGGTCCTAAGACTAATAAAATCTGACATTTTCCTTCATAAATACCAGACATAAAGGAATATACTAATGTTTACCTCTGTCCGGGGCAAGCAGGTGCTTTCGGCAACGTCACTATTTCTCTGGGAAAGCCGATTTTTGTTTATCGCCCACGTCTTGACTGTAAAACTAGAGAATGCTGTAGAGAAAGGAGAACGAGTGTTATTCAGAGATCTGCATTGTTTACCCTCCATTTAAAATTTTTTTCAATCTTCCCTCCCAACACTTCCCTCCAAAAAAAAAAGCCAGCTCGCGGTGCCTTGGCTTCCTAGTCAGGGCGCCTCCCCAGCGGCGCGCGGACCTTCCTGGCGGCCACACCGGGCCACTGCCGCCAAGCGGGCTGCCTGCCTCCGCCCACGCAGGTGTCCGCCGCTGCGAGCGCCGCTCACTTCTGCCGGCTGCGGCCCGGCAGCGAGGCTGCAAAAAGGACAAGGTGACCACGCCCTCTATCGCCCTCCGCCCTGCGCCTGCGCAGCGTCCTGGTCGCCCCACCACGGGGAAGTGCTTCAGTGACCCGACAGGAGGTGGGTTTGGATTGTTGTGGTTTTTGTTGCCGGTCCTAGCCTTAGGGGAGAACAACAAAAACAAAGCCCAACCCTCCACACCACTTTGCCTGCCTCTCAGGGCCTGCGGACCCAATTGTAGGAAAAAACACTACTGCGGTTCCCCGCGGGGGCAAGAAAGAACTTTTGTTTTTTTAAATATCTGCAGGTAGCAACTACCCTGACTATTTTAATGCCCGCCTCCGGAGTGGGGACGTCATTGTGGTTACAAAGAATGAAAAAAGTGGCTCCTATCCAAACTTGAAAGCCTGAGGAAATGAGGTAGTGTAGGGCGAGTGTGCCAGAGAAGCACGTTCACTCCTGCTTGGCTTTAGGAGGGCAAATTTGGAAAAAGTGCGCGTTCGAGTCAATAAAAATGCCCTCTTCATTCCACGTCCCACGCCGTTGTGTGGATCCCAGGCTGCACCACTTTGCAGAACAATCCCTATAATTTCTAGCTTAGTCCTCATGAGAGCACAGTACAGTGGAATCAAGAGCTTATCCTTTAAACGAACATTTTCTACAAGGCGGAAAAACAAGAGGCAGCTCGGAGAACATCAAATTCCATGCACATGTTCTTTTCTACAGTACCAAAAATGTCAATGCAAAAAGAAAACTTCATCCCAGACCAGCACAAAATATGCTGGCAGCAGGGCATAGTGGCACACGCCTTTGATCCCAGGGCTTGGAGGCTTGAGGATGAGGGTGTGGCTCAGTGATAGAGTGCTTCCAGCGATTTCAGGCCCTGAGTTGGTCTCCTGAATGACAGCAAGAGCGGGCCTTTAATCCCAGCACTGGGGAGGCAGAAACAGGTGGATCTCTGAGTTCAAGGCCAATCTGGTCTACAGAGTGAGTGCCAGGATAGTCTCCAAAACAAACAAACAAAAAGACAAGAGTAGACCTAGCTGTCCTAGAACAGTAGTTTTGATCTGTAGACCATACTGGCCTTGAACTCACATCTGCCTGTCTCTGCTGAGTGCTGGGATTAAAGGTGTACACCACTACCACCTGATCTGTTTCTTATGTTTAAATATAGTCATGGGGGTACACCTCCTTTAATCCCAGCACTCAGGAGGCAGAGGCAGGCACATTTCTGAGTTTGAGACCTGTCAGATCTAAATAGTGAGACACACATTTTAAAAAATTGCATTCAGAATCTATTACTTTAGCAATTTAAACAAAAAAGAAAGGAAAGCAAATTTGTAAAAGAAAAAAGATAAACTCAAATGGAATAAATATATAGTATATATCAAAATTTTCTAAATGGTTGACAAAACCAAGTCCAAGTTTTTAAAAATAAATCTATAAAAATATAAATCACCAATAATCATGAGGAAAGCAATTCTTTATCACTGATAATCATGTGCAAAACAAAGCATTGATATAGTCTTAAAATTCACTTATGTGGCAAAGATTTAAAAGTCATAATGACTATCTGCTGGGTAGGCTTGGGAATAATCTTAGAACCTGAGAGAAGAAACAGGAGAAGGAGCATAAAGTAGGAAAAGAAGCAGAATGCCCAGGGCTGAGGGTAGACTCAATGATGACAATAAGGAGCCGAGCTCTGTCCCTCTAGCCTGAGACTGCAGAGAACAGTGACACAGTGTGAACTTCAAAGGGTGGAGACTGTTACCATAAATGCTTAAGGAGAATGGTGTACTTACTGATGTGTGTATATCCATCAAAACACCACGAGGCACCCCAGGAATATGTACATACACAGATGTATTCTTCTTAAATTAAAAATTAAAAATACAAAAAGAAGGAAATTGCACTTTAAAAATGACTAAAATCTTACAGTTATGTTACTGGTGGCTTTGGAAAAAGAAAAATCCATGTCTGGAACTGAGACTAGACATGGGGACGTGACTGTGAAGTATTAACATGACATGACAAGCTCACTACAGACAAGGGCTGCAGCGAGCTGTACTTGCCTAGAGGTCCCAGCAGGGGAAACCGTTTGGAAAGCCTCTTGGCCTACTCAATCACACAGGCCATTCTGTATTCCATAAGCAAGGGATGATTAAGGACATAGAGACAAGACACGGAATATGAATGCCCTTCCTGGGAGAATAGCAGAAGAGAGACAGCAACATATGGCGACATATAGGGCATCATAGTGTTTATAGTAAAGGCCGGCCCCAAGGGACTGCATGAGTCAGCAACAGAGCCACCTCCCCTGACCCAGCCCAGAGTACTGTCCTTTCCTTAATAAACTCAGTGGTGGCTGAGGTTCTAATATATATATGCACATATATACATTCCTCATATAAAACTGATAATATAAAAAAATCTATCCTTATATATGATTGTGCCTATTTGAACAATCAATATGTTTATGGTTTTTTATATCATTTATTCAATGCTAAATTAGTTTGCAGGTGCCAGGTAAACAAAAGTTGTTAAATTGGTCTTGCTTCCTTTTGGTTTATAGTAAAGTAAAATTTTAAGGGGGGAAAAATTCCAACCCCAATTGTCCAAACAGGCTCAGTAGCTTGGTCACATGTCCAATATACCAACTAAATGGGTAAAATAACAGCAAAAGATAATTGTATTAGTCAAGGTTCGCTAGAGTCAGAACGTGTGGAATGACTCCCTCACTGTGTGTGTATGTGTGTGTATGTATGTATGTGTATGTGTGTGTATGATTTACTGGAATGACTTATAAACTACAGTCCAGCTAATCCAACAGTGGCTAGCTATGAATACAAAGCCCAAGAATCTAGTAGTTGTTAGTCCCATCAAGCTGGGTGTCTCAGTGGTCTTCCATGTATCCTGGAATCCAGATGAAGTAGACTCCAGTGCTAGTGAAGGAATAGATGTGCTGTCAAGGTGAGGGCCAGCCGGAATTGTCCTTACATAGAATTCCAACAGAAGGTATGGCCCAGATTAAAGGTATGTCTTCCTATCTCAAGATCTGGATCAAAGGTGTGTGTTGTTGTCTTCCTGTCTCAAAATCCGGATCACAGGTGGGCCCTCCATCTCTGGATTGTAGTTCATTCCAGATACAGTCAAGTTGACAACCAAGAACAGCCATCACAATAATCAATATGACAACTTTGGTAAAAATCAGTAGCGGTGGCTAATGGTCCTAGAACATCCTTTGGGGGAGTTAGCATGAGTTCTTAAATTTAAATTTTAAAAATCTTTTCTTCGGTGATACATAGCTGGAGAGATGGCTCAGCAGTTTAGAGCACTATTGCTCTTACAGAGGACAAGGTTTGATGCCTACACCCACATAGTGGCTTACAACCATCTATCTGTAACTCCAGTTCCAGGGGTATCTGACAGCCATTTTTGAACTTCTCAGGCACCAGGCGTGAAGTGACTCCTCAAACCCCATTTCCAATTCTAAGCATTAAAATAAGAAATAAGTTTTGGTTGTGTCTCTAAGCACTATAAAGTTCTAACTTCTAATAGGCTGAGCTCTTGTTTCTATCACTGTTATTTGTATTGTCATAGTAATAAAAGATAACCTTGTTTAATGAAATTTAAAGAATACTATATTTAGCCAGGCGTTGGTGGTGCACACCTTTAATCCCAGCACTCGGGAGGCAGAGGCAGGCATATCTCTGTGAGTTGGAGGCCAGCCCTGTCTACAGAGCAAGTTCCAGGACAACCTCCAAAACAAGACAGAGAAACCCTGTCTCGGAAAAAAAGAAAAAAGAAGAATACTATATTCTTCTCTAATTTCTTCTACAGTGTAGTTTTCCACTTTTCCAAGTGAAATCTGGTATAATACCAATATAGAACAACAGATCAAATCAGTATCCTCAGATAAGAATTAAGATATTTAAATTTTAAAGACTAGTTTTTGGGTTTTTTTTTTTTTTTTGTCTAAGAGTTAGACTAGCCGGGTGGTGGTGGCGCACGCCTTTAATCCCAATCCCAGCACTCGGGAGGCAGAGACAGGCAGATCTCTGTGAGTTCAAGGCCGGGCTGGACCGACAGCCTCCAAAACAATACAGAGAAACTCTGTCTCGTAAAACCAAAAAAAAAAAAAAAAAAGAAAGAGTTAGAGCTAGCCATTTCACATGTAGTTATAACTGTAAGATCAAGCTGGACAAAAGAAAAACTAAAATGAAAACCTAACTGGTTGTTTGCATACCCCAGTATAAGCAAGATGATCTCTTGTTAGTTGCCCTCAGGGTAAAAGAAGAGGGAGGCAAAGGCCACTGAGAATTCCAAGATACAAAAACATTCGGAAAATTAAAAACAAGAAAACAACAACAAAATGCCAAATCCTTATGTGTCCTAATTGCAGTTCTCCCTCCTTCCCTCCCTCCCTTTCTTTCTTTCTTTTTTGTTTTTGTTTTGCTTTGTTTTTCCAGACAGGGTTTCTCTGTAGCTTTGGAGCCTATCCTGGAACTTGCTTTATAGACCAGGCTGGCCTGGAACTCACAGAGTTCCACCTGCCTCTGCCTCCCGAGTGCTGGGATTAAAGGTGTGCACCACCAGCACCCAGCCTTAGTTGCATTTCTATTGCTGTGATAAACACCATGACCAAAAGCAATTTGGGGAGGAAAAGGGTGTATTTCAGCTTTTTGTTTGTTTGTTTTTTTGTTTTTTCGAGACAGGGTCTCTGCCTCCTGAGTGCTGGGATTAAAGGTGTGTGCCACCAAACCCGCTTATTTCAGTTTATACTTCCACATCATGGTTCAGCATTAGAGGGAGTCATGGAGTGCATGTGACTACAATACATGACAGGGGACAGATAGTCTTGTCTCTTACGGAGTTTAGTTTTTGATTGATTGATTGCTTGATTCAGACAGTCTCATCATGTAGCCTGTTCTAGTCTAGAGCTCATGTAGACCAGGCTGGCCTTGTGCGGGCACTGAGAACAAAACTCTCTCTATCTTCTCAATCTAATTGTTTTATTTATTTTTTT